GTATATATATATACCATGGTAACATACATCTTAAAAATACAGAAAAACGGGGGAACATTTTTCATCGCGACAACCCTACACACTTTTCGATAAAAACCCACCACAGCCTACACTCGTGATATTCTCCACGCCTAACAGCTCAAGTTACTGCAATCCCTAACCAGACATATCCGGTCCAGCGGCGACCGCGGCAGATATAGCTAGCCGGTGATGGGTTGGTCGCAAGGTGCTCACACATGCCGTCGTTAACGAGGCACAACACAATCCAGAAAAGCTCGCAGCGAAACCTCGATAAGACGCCATTTTGTTAGCAATAACACTTTAAACGCAATTAAAACAAGAACAAAATAGACATTCGCAGTTGGAATCCTGCGGAAAACTGCGGTCTCAGGCTCGCAAGCTATAGCAGAGATATAAGGAACATATAATGGTAGGCACTAGAGCTGTATAATGGTAAGCAATTGACGTGTTTAACATTAAGTAATGAGCCAGTAAAAAAGCTCGAAGTGGTGACAGCAGCTATAGGAAGAGGAGCTGTATCGCAGCGCGTGAATACAAGGCAAGCGATGAAACCACTCGAACAAAACAACGACTAAAACCGACGACTAAAAAATATACACGACAGCGGTAGATACGTTGCTATTCACACACGCACGCGCGCGTGTGCACGCACACATTACCTGTACACGCACACATTACCTGTACACGCACGCACGTGTGTGCACGCACACACTACCTGTACACGCACACGCGCGTGTGCACACACTACCTGTGCACGCGCCGCGCGCATGCACGAGCGTGACGTCAGAGCTTTCCGCTGCTACGTCACTAACGCGTCTGCCGTTTACGCACGCTCAGCCAATAAACCGTTCACGTCCCCAAATTGCGATAAATGCGAAAGTAGAAGACCTGGGCAATAACCCCCCGTGTGTCGGCACCTACACCGCAGTATACGTGACGTCACAAATACCTGCCGCTTCACCCGCCAATCCGGTGCGCGCATTTCGCGATGATTACGCACATGCTGCAGGTGACCGGTTTCCCACAATAAGCTCCATTACGTCGACAGCCAGGCAGTGCCATCTGTTGGCAACGCACTGCAACTATTTAACGGTAAATTGAGTACAAGGTCGGCGGTGCGTAATAACAATAATAATATTATTAATAATAAAAAGCCATTTAAACCGCCATAACGGTTGTGTAATAATGGTCATGTAACAACAATGACTGATAATACGGGCATACTAGCACCACACCTGGTTGAAACTCATACAAGCACCACGACAGAAACAAATATGTCAGCTGTTTACACGTCCCTGACATCAACGCACACGTGTATACCACCCAGGCTAAAATAGCATCCACCCTAACCAATAGAGAACCAACGTGACCTGATCACCTGATCATCAACAAGTCAGTTCAATCAATCTCTACGGTCGTTAAAAGAAATACGAATTCGATCGTACGAATCATGAGCGTAGTACACAACAAACTCGAGCCAAGAGTAAGGCTAACGTAATCGTCATTGTGATAAGAACCCAGCACCAGACTGCACCTAGAAAAATTACCCGTTGTTTTTCGCTTCAACCCGTGATTTGTTTTCACCAACTTTTGCGAGGTTGTGCATGTTTCGCATAACGCCGTTCACTCCGTCCCATCCTTCATCACACGCGTGTCCACACACCATCACTCCCAGATATGTTCACTTGTTAAATCTGTATCTAAACTGACGTAACCATGTCCTGCCTGTCACTATTATTCTTTTCGACGAGCACATTAACAATTTTTTGCCCGTCGGATATGTCTTAGCTGGCACACATACATGTTTGTTCATCAGGTGTTTCTTACTTGTAACCTGTACACTTTCTGCCTTTCAGGTTTGTCTTATCTGTCGCATGTACATTTTACTGGAAAGATCTCGATCTGTCTTATTACCTGTAACGTACAGGTGTCATGTGTCACATTTGTTTCACATCTATAAGATGTGTTGCTACGTGCAAAAAACGACTGGACTGTGACAGCCACATTCTATATTATGTACAACATCTACTCACGCTTAAACATCGAAAAAAACGTTATTTTGATTGCCGCTCAAGAATGACTAACATTTGGAGAAATTTCCAACTTCTTCCGAAAGCTACCCATAAACTCAACCATTACTTATGTGGGGCGTAAAAACATACGTAGCAGTGCCAACAACACGGCTAGACTTTAAAACAGAATAAAGACAGATGCTGTTTAAAAAGGAGGCTTAGTGAATACAGGAAATCCTGTGCCCATCACTGATGGATAAAAAACCATGCACTGGTAGCAATAACACATTGAAGCTGCCATTGATTATTCCTGGAGAACACGTATAAAAATAGTCTAATCATTCAGGTTTTTTTCACTTTACACTACATGAGACGCATTTATAATTTTTATAATATATTTTTTAAACTTCACTAGCTGTACTGAGCATGTTTTTTCGCTTGGTGGGTTACATGGTGTGTTTGCAACAATATTGCCTTCGTGGCATTAACAAAATACGACTGCTGGCGCCATCTATGCAGCTAAAACAGCATTTTGTGATGACTACATTTTGTGATCAGTGCGATTGCTACATGGCATCCTGAGATTACCGCCAAACGTACATCGTACGATCGATGAGTAAGTAGTGAGTACAAAACGCTAGCACTGTTGACAACAGATCCCTCTTCCTAAAAATCTCAAGGTAGCACCAAGGAGATAGCAACTTCCTCATTGTCCATCAGTAGGAGTCAGCGCTGTACATCAGCTGTAGGCCGCTGCCCACCTGCTTTCTTCCCGTCCACGACTAAGCATCCCCGCCCACCTGTGTCTTTGCCGTCCACGACTAAGCATCCCCGCCCACCTGTGTCTTTGCCGTCCACGTCCGTCCACGACTAAGCATCCCCGCCCACCTGTGTCTTTGCCGTCCACGACTAAGCATCCCCGCCCACCTGTGTCTTTGCCGTCCACGGTTTTAAGCATCTGCACGTGGGATGGAACCTTTCCGCGACGCGACGTTCTGTGATTCGTCGCTCACAGAGCTGCTCACACTGCTGGCGTCATCTGCTGACAGCTCCGTCACGCGATCACTGACGCGCCTGCAAATATAACGTAACGAGTGACTAGAAGCGCCCCGTCTACACGAGGATTTTTAACCCGGGTTAAGCATCTACACGAGGGCCTAACCCGGGTTAACTAACCCGAGATACTTCTTAGCACGGGTAAGTGTAACCCCGAGATGTGAGGAGGGTTAACTAACCAGGGTTAAGAGCTGTCTCGGGTTAAGCGTCATGTAGACGCTGCTAACCCGGGTTAGCGCATAGTTCCTTAACCCTGCGATGGGCGGCAATAGTGAACAATAGTCCACTATAGGCAATAGAACAATAGGAACGTCTCGCGTGCCAGAACCGCTCAAGCGTGGAGTGGGTGGTGCTCGTGTAGACGCTACGCATTTCTTATCCCGGGTTAAGCTAACCCGAGACCCGGGTTAATGAAACGTCGTGTAGACGAGGCTTAGAGGCGTGGAAACGTGAGGTTCACCGCTGCTGACGTCTTCCACAAACAAAGGTAAGGAAGGTCGTTCACATAGCACAGCCGGCACTAAGAATGATACACAAATATAACACACGTCCCTCCCCCATTGAACTTACATTAATGCAGTGGTTCTTAACCTTTTTTGAGTCATGGATCCCTTTGAGAATCTGGTGAAAGCTACAGAGCCCTCCACAGAAAAATGCACATAAGCACACAAGCACAAAATTGTGCATACATTTGGGCTCACGGACCCCCTGAAGCCCAACCACGGACCCCAAAGGGGTCCGTGGACCACAGGTTAATAAAACCCTGCATTAATGACTTACTGCTGAAGTCTAATTGCACAGTCTAGACTGCATTCACTCTACTATGTTACAGCTATAAAGTATTCAATACAAGATCAGTCTATCAATCTCACCTAGTATTGAATACAACATAGATGTGACATCATCGTGCAAGTTCTATATCAAAACTGTCGAAAATTTAATTTAATATTATACTCATTTACGTAACAAAATTTATCACGATTACAAATGTTATCGTATACACTTACTTTTTCTTGAAGAAAATTCCTCTCAGGGAAAATCTGGAACCCTTATTCTTCTCCGAGTTCCCGTTGACACCCGTGTGCTTGGCGGCACCATCTGCCGGTGGCCGATCCGACCCGTTTTCGCCCCAGACAGCGGGCACACACTGGGGTGCTGCGCTGCCACCTGGTGACCGCGCCAGTCCCTGCTCGGCGCTCGCTACTCGCGCAGTACTGGGGGGAGATTCGACGGGGCGGACGCCGCGCGCTTTACGATCATCCTGCGCGCTCTCCACCCGGTGCTTGCGATGTCGCAGGTTGCCCAGGAAGAGGTGTAGCGGGCCGCCGTCGTGCCGCGGGGGCGCCACCGTCTGAAGCTGCTCTCCCGCTGCCCGGGGCAGACTCAGCGACTTCTGTCGCTGACCGTTGTCCGGCGACGCTCCGCCGGCCGCGATGTCCAAACTCTGCTGCGTACCGAGTCTAGACTTCTGCACGCGCAGCTTCCAAGCGCGACCGCCTGACGCGGGCCTCGCGGCGCCCTCTGGCGACGTCGGCGGCGTCGACACGGCGAACGCATTGAACTTCGGGAGGCGTGCGGTCGCGGCGGTGGCAGGGTCGGATAACCCGGGAGCAGTCGACACCGGATGCACGCAGTTGCGGGAGAAGGGCTTTGCGGGATGTGCCTCGCTCGTGGCTGACACCACCTTACACTTGCTCATCGCTGCGGCCATGTCGTCATCACTAGAGCTACTGTCGGCCATGTACCTGCAGCATCACCATAGAAGCCAGCCTCATACATACACCATAATACAGCATCATAGAAGCCAGCATCATACATACAGCATAATACAGCATCATAGAAGCCAACGGTCAACAGGTTAAAAGGTAATGGCGTATGTGTCTTATGCGTAGATGTCGACACACATTTACCTACATGTACCTGCAGCATGACCACCATCATAGAAGCAGGTAAACAGTATTATAAGGTAGTCAAAGGTAATGGCGTATGCGTCTTATGCGTAGATGTTGACACACATTTACCTACTACATCACCACCAACATAGAAGCTAGCCATAAACAGGTAACCTCGTAATTAATAGAACAGGTAACCTCGTAACCTCGTAATTAATAGTCTTCAAAGTCCAAGGGGACTACGTCGAAAACGAAAAGAGATGAAGTTGATCAAATAGCAGATCAACACTGCGGATCGCAGTAGAAAAAGCCTCAAATTTGCAATTTACTAAAGAGGAAGGGAGAGAATTCCAATACGGAATGACAGAAACAAAGAAGCTAAACTTAAAAGGGATCCTTTATAACAGCTAACATCTTAAGATAACAGGTAACACCTTAAGGTTTTTTAAGGTAACAGATAACAGCTTCTTTTGCGTAGATGTTGACACACATTATTTTTAAATCCAGTTTTTCGTTCCCAACTTCAAAGTGTTGCGTAATGGAAACGGAATGCCGTTATCAAAATGTGGACGGAATAAGAAGAGAAAACGTGATACATTGCATAACCAATATCGAGGTTTTCGTATTTTCATAGCAAGTACTGATATTTCTGGTTAATTTTCGTTACTTTTTAACGGTGAAATGAATGTGATTTGAAGTGGATTCGTATACAATATGGGCTGTTTGTTCATTCTATGCACTATCAGCATGCTTATGACATGGTAACAAAACATGCATAGTTTAGCACCCCAGATTAGTGTAGCACATATGCGAAAACATATTGTGGGGGTCCCAAACTATCCTTGATCCACATAAGGAGCACAACGGCAGTAGCAAATGCCATGGGCGGATCCAGCTTTTTGAAAAAGAGGGGGGGGGGTCCAGTAAGAAATAAAGGGCACTTTTTCCTGCTTAATTTTTTTGGTGTTTTAAAAAGGTGCTGACGGCCACTTAGGAGGGGTTTGGGACCTTTTTGAACCTTCCCCCAATAAATTTTTTTTAAATTGGTGCATTCTGAGAGCATCTGAGCAGTAATTTTGATGTCTAGAATGCAAGATGGAATTCCAAATTTTTAGCAGAAAATTAGGTGTGTTTTCCATTTTTTCCCTTTTTTTGGGTAAAAAACTCTGACTCTGCCCATGCAAATGCTGTCATATTTACCTGTACAGATGACTCGTCTCTGGGGAAAACGACACCATTGAGGGCTCGATGATGACTCCGTGGCTAGAAATGTGATCCAAGCGATTAATCTTGTGCAAGCGTTCCTTCTGTGTCATGTTCTCCTTCACCCTCTGCTTCCTGTAATAATGACATTCGTAAATGTGTCGCCGGTATAATATATATAGCCGTTTGCAAGCGAATCTTCTTGCGCTTTCTTAAATTTACACATTTACTCTTGAAATATCTCGTCAAATATATATATATATATATAATATTCTTTTCAAATTTATCCTCTTTTCGTTGCACACAAATAGAGATGCAAACTGATTATGCTGGTACTTACGTGTAATAACATTCCATATCATTTGGTTGTTAAAGCCTGCATTGTTTAACTGTTTGTTTGTTCCATTGTTTTTGTTTCAGTTTATTCCTGTGTTTGCTTGTACTTAATGTAAAAACAGATAAACACATACTAATCTACTATGGAATACCTGATCGGATGAGGCGTGCCATGTTGCGGAACAGGTACCAGGTGGCAGCAGTGTTCCATAGTGTCGTTTAGCTTCAACACAAACTCCTTGAGACAAGCGAGCACAGCCGATAGCTCCAAGCGATCTGGATGGCTGGCCTCAGTGAACTTGAGCAGCGTCTGCAAAGTAAAGATGGCATACAGGGTTGTGGGTGTTGTCACATTAGCATGTACGCATCTTCCACGAGCATTCACCCAAGAGGGAACGACTACTATTATAAATAACCTGCTGTGAGTTTTTGGTCTTCGTACAAGATACCTTAAGAGGGTACCTTCGTAAAAACGCCACTACATCATGTACGTACAAAATTTACACTTTGCAAGACTGTTGCAATATGCTACTGTGTGAGCGCAGTGCAAGCATTTCGTACAAAAGCACGAAATTGATATCCTTGAGTATGAGAATGGTAACTGCAGTTCCGGTTATGAATATAAGGCGTTATATAGAACACTGGTGGAAACATTATTACATGAAGCCTAACACATACCTTCAGGGGAAACATTCAGTCATTTTCTGTCATACTAATACACTACTCAATAACTACATATAGAACTAGACAACTAATAATATACTAGATGGAAGCACAATGGTACCCAACTTATAAGTAATACGTCATTTAGTAAATCACTGTAGAGGCCACTGCGATTACTTTGGTATGAAACAAGTATCGTGGAGGGCTCTGTGTTAAACTTTATAGGTAAAATATTTGTTAGTATAAAGGAAAATGTAGTTACAAGTGTAGACAATGAATATTGATTACAGCCGTGCACTGTAAAGAGTGCTGTGTTACCTTGATGAGCAGCATGTAATGAGGAACTCTCTGTACGGGAGCAAGCAACATGGCCGCCAGGTCCGAGTTCTCACAGCCAGCTCTCCTCAGCGCACACTGTCAAAAACAACATTATTATTATTATTATTATTATTATGCCGAATACCGACAGAATGTTTCACTAGGTACGAACGGCGACTATCAATCGTTTCATTGCCAAATGATAATGAAGCAACGCCCTGTCCTTCATCAGAAAATACACTAGCAATAAAACGATAATGTCAGTTAAAAGATATTAACATTTGTCGCTTCTATTTATTTCGATATTTTGTTTTCTACACACTAGAGTACATACGTTTGCTGATGGTATTAGGTATAATTCTATTTTATTTTTAAATTTAATTTTATTATAATTTATTTATATGCTAACTGGGCAGTGCTGCATGCTCGTGCAGAACAATTTTCTCCAGCTAAGAGAGTGGTCATGCATCCACCAGTGCTTGCCATGCACCACCACCACTCACCGTTATGAAGCGGCGAAAGTCGTGCGACTCCTGGAAACATCGCTTCATCATTTTCTGAGCGTTGGCAAAGTCTTCAGCGTAGCAACTGTACAGACCCAGTGTATCACCCTGTATTGAGAACAAGTGTACATGCTAAATAAGAGCAGGTGTCATCGCAATAACGCTACACTGTACACACGCAGCATAACGCACCTAACGCTATCTAGTAATGGAAATTTGTATACAATTAGGGATTGTATGTGTACACTCTGCGTTTCCGGCCTACAGACCGACTACCTACCTACACACCTGGTGGTAGGTATGCGCACAACTTGACAACTGAAAGAGTGCCAATGCACACCCGATGAAACATAAACACAGGTCTATGCACCTGATACTATTTAAATGGCCCTGTGTTGATAATGCAAAATGAACTTCTGTTGATGATATCTAACCACACCTGTGCACACACATGCTTGCACCCAACCACTCATGCCACCAGTTAACACAACTTCCATCTCACCCCACGCCTCACACGCTCGATAGCTACCACCGCACACGCAACCCACCTTCCATCTCACCCCACGCCTCGCACGCTCGATTATGCTACCACCGCCAATCACGCATACCCACCTTCGCATCTCTATCCCACGCCTCGACGCTCGCGGTAGCTACCCACCGCCACACGCAACCCGCCTTCCATTCTATCCCCATCGCCGTCGCGACGCTCGGCATAGCTATCCACTGCACACGGCAACCCACGCTGTCCATCTCTATCCACGCCTCACTGACGCTCGGATATGTCACCAGCCGCGCCACACGCAACCATCCTTCCATCGTTCATCCCCACGCCGCTCGTCGACGCTTCGATAGCGTACCACCACACATGCACAAAGCCCACCTTCCAATCTGTCATCCCACGCGCTCGCACGCTCGGATTAGCTAGCCACCGCACACGCCAAGCCTTCACCTGTTCTCATCTCTATTCCACAGCCTCGCGATCGGCCTCGATAGCTCACCACACAACACAGCCACCTTCCATCTCTATCCCACGCCTCGCAGCTGCCTCGGATTAGTCTACCACCGCCTACACGCAACCCACCTGTCCATCTCATCCCACGCCTCGCCACGCTCGATAGGCCCTTACCACAGCACGCGCAACCCACCTGTCAGCTCATCCCACGCCTTCGAACGCTCTGGATAGCTACGCATCTTGCACTGCGGCAACCCACCTTCCATCTCATCCCACGCCTCGCACGCTTTCGATAGCTAGCCACCGCCACACGCACAGCCCACCCTTCCATTTCTCATCCACGCCTTCACCTGCTCTGCATAGCTACCACCGCCACACGGCAATTCCCACCTTCGCATCTCATGCCACGGCTCGCACGCTTCGATAAGCTACCACCGCACCTTTGCCGCAACCCACCTTTCCATCTCATCCCACGCTCTCACGACGCTCGCATAGCTACCACCGCACCGCTAACCCCGACGCCTTCCATCTCATTCCCACGCCGTCGCCACTGCTCGATAGCTATCCACCGCACACGCCAACTCCACCTTCCAATTCTCGATTCCCACGCCGTCGCACGTCGAATATGCTTTCACCACCGCACACGGCAAGCCACCTTCCTATCTTCATCTCACGCCTCGCACGCTCGATAAGCTGACCACCGCACACGCATAACCGACCTTCCATTCTCCAGTCCCACGCCTTCACGACGCTCGAATAGCTACCAGCCGCGCTACACGCAAACCCACCTTCCATTCTCACGTCGCCCCACGCCTCAATCACTGCCTCGATATGCTACCAGCCGCACTGCGCAACCCACCTTCCATCTCATTTCCACGGCCCTCGCCACGGCTCGATGAGCCTCTACCACCGCACCGCGCAGCAGAGCCACTTCCAGTCTCATCCCACGCTCACGACGCTCTGATAGCTCCACGCCACGCGCAAGACCACCTTCCATCTCATCCCGAGCGCCTCACACTGCATCGTATAGGCTGACCACCGCGCACACGCAACCCCCTTTCCAGTTCTCATCCCACGCCTCACGACGCTCGGATTAGCTACCACCGCCCGCACACGCAACCCCACCTTCCATCTCATCCCACGCCCCTCACACAGCTCGGCATTAGCTCAACCACTGCACACGCAACCCACCTTCCATCTCATCCTCACTGCCTCACGACTTGCTCGATGAGACCTACCAGCCGCACGGCGCAATCCCACCGTTTCCATTCTCATTCCACGGCCTTCGCCACGATCTGATTGAGCTACCACCGCCACGACGCAAAACCCACCTTCCATCTCACCCCACCGCCTCACACGGCGCTCTGATAGCCTACACGCACGCGCACAGACCCCACCTTCGCATTCGTCATCCCGACGCTCGCATCGCTCGTATAGCTACGCACCGCGACACGCCAACCCACCTTCCATCTCATTCCACGCCTCGCCACGGCTCGGTATGCTACCACCGCCGACGCGCTAACCCACCTTCAGTCTCATCCACGCCTCGACACGGCTCGATAGAGCTACCATGCCGCACTGCGCAACCCACCTTCCATCTCATCCCACGGCTCGCACGCTCGATAAGCTACCACTGGCACGCGCAACCCACCTTTCTCAGTCTTCATCCACGCCTCGCGACGCTCGATATGCTTAACCACCGCACATCGCAACCCCACCTTCCATCTCATTCCCACGCGCTCGCGACTGCTCGATAGCTACCACCGCAACACTGCGCAAACCCACCTTCGTTCTGCATCCCACGCCTCGCAGCTGCTCTTATAGATTACACGCCGCGCAACCCACCTTTCCATCTCACCCACGCCTCGCACGCCGATAGCTACCAGCCGGCACTACGCACCCACCTTCCATCTCATTCCACGTCCTCGCAGCTCTGATAGGGCTACCAGCGCACACGCAACTCCACCTTCCATCTCGATCCCACGCCTCGCGACTTGCTCGATAGCTACCACCGCACACGCAACCCACCTTCCATCTCATCCCACGCCTCGCACGCTCGATAGCTACCACCGCACACGCAACCCACCTTCCATCTCATCCCACGCCTCGCACGCTCGATAGCTACCACCGCACGCGCAACCCACCTTCCTGGAGTGGAGATGCGTTGCTAGGCAACCCCCGAGCAGGAGATCGGAGTCAGATGCTGCGAGAATGGTGGACTGCAGATCCTCCAAAAAGCTGCAGTGCCGTTCGTACAGCGTGTACAGCTCAACAGGGAACATCATGCTAAAACACACACAAGCGCGCAAATACGCCGTACTGTAACACGTGAAAAACCCACCTTATATTCACCACACACAGGGGTAAGGATGGGTTCTGGAATCTGAATGGCCTAAGAAAAAAATGACAAAAATACTACTGAAGTAGGGTGGGTCAGGGGGTGTGAAGGGGTAGTGTAGTATGATAAATACAATGTCATTAAATTGCTCCTCCACTAAATAATTTCTAACTATACGTTCAGTTTCTAACAATAACTATAAGTTCTATAAAGACTTGGAATTTAAAATTATTTCCTAATTTGGGTCCTAAATAACTCCTGGCTTAGTTTACGCGCGTGAGACAATCTTGTTGTGGGCCGTGCTAACTTTGCACGCAACAATGACACTCGCAAGGTCACGAGGTCACGAGGTCACGAGGTCACGAGGTCGCGACATGGGAGCAGCCGCACACGTTACTAACTTGATCTCCTTTGTGTTGAGAATCGTCCTGCGTTTCAGCGGCTCAGCGAACATCTGCTGGAGGTTCCACAAGGTGGCGCTGTAATGCACCTCGGACAGCAGCAGCTGCCGCGTGATCTCGTGTCGCTGTACTGCAAAGTAAACACAAAGGCATTCAATGCATGACTGATAAACATGGCTGCTAGGAAACGTGCCTAGGAAACGTGCCTAGCGAATATGACCAGTGAAACATGGCTGCTAGGAAACGTGCCTAGCGAATATGACCAGTGAAACATGGCTGCTAGGAAACGTGCCTAGCGAATATGACCAGTGAAACATGGCTGCTGATCGTGAGT